CTCTCCCTTTCCCTGTAATTTTTGCAAATCAATACATCTTTAAAAATTAGAAAGCAAAATTTAAAAAAAAAGAAACAATTTCAGGGAGAGGGAACAGCTAGTACAAAGCCTAGTGTATATTTTCTTTTACTTTTATTTTTAAAAGATTTATTTTATTATTTTATTTTTATTACAAAGTCAGATATACAGAGAGGAGGCGAGACAGAGAGGAAGATCTTCCGTCCGATGATTTACTCCCCAAGTGAGTGCAACGACTGGTGCTGTGCAGATCTGGAGCCAGGATCCAGGAATCTCTTCCGGGTCTCCCACACGGGTGCAGGGTCCCAATGCTCTGGGCCGTCCTCTACTGCTTTCCCAGGCCACAAGCAGGGAGCTGGATGGGAAGTGGAGCTGCCGGGATTAGAACCGGCGCCCATATGGGCACATTCAAAGTGAGGACTTTAGCCACTAGACCAGCGTGCGGGCCCCTAGTGTATGCTTTTAAAAAGTACTTCAGCACCCCCATAGCTAGTTTATGTCAGATAAAATTCTAACAGGCACATGATAATAGACAGAATCTGCTCCATTCTAACCATATCAGGATAAATGGGCCCTGGTTTTTATCAGGGATGCCATACAGCAGATGCTGCTATGGTGGTGAGCATCTTAGAAACCAGGTGATTCAAGGGCACAGAGAAGGGGGCGTCGTGTTGCTACAGGGTGTCACTGCTGAGGATTCCACATCCCATATCAGAGTGGTGGTTGGATTTCCAGCTTCTGATCCATTTCCTTGTTTTCTTGGGAAGCAGCAAATAGTGTCTTAAGCACTCAAATTCCTACCCATTTGAGAAATATGGATGGAGTTCCTGGTTGCTGGTGTAGCCTGGCCCTGTCCCAGCTGTTACAGCCATTTGGGTTGTAATCAAGCAGTTGGAAGCCTCTCTTTCTCTCTCTTTCCTTTTCTCTGTCACTTTGCTTTTAAAAAATTCTTTTCTAAGAGTACTATTTAATTTTATTTTTGATGATGTTTACATAGTTGGTTAGGGTGGGAAGGGTTGAGGGTTAGGGGAAAGTGGATGAGACTGTTGCTCCAAATGTTACTTGCATGGGCTGGTCCGAGCCAGGCTGGAGGCCTGTGGCACAAAATCTCCTACATATCCTTAAAAAAATAATAAAATAAAAATTGGAAGTCGAATAGGCAATTATGCTGGCACACTGGTATATACTTCATGCAAATTTGGCATTAACTAGGCCCAGGATGTCCACCAACTAATGGCTGCTTTTCTCCCAGCTGTGTAACACTTGCCTAGCTACAGGGCAACCTAGGCCATTGCCTATAGCTGAGGTAAAATAATTCTCACAAAATAGGTACAAAGGGATTTTATGGGACCAGCACATTGGCGTATCAGGCTAATCATCTACTTCTGGCACTGGCATCCATTTGTGAACTAGTTCAAGTCCCAGCTACTCCACTTTCAATTCAACTCCCTGCTATTGACCTAGGAAAGCAGTGGAGGATGGCCCAGGTTCAGGTTTTGCACTCATGCAAGAGATGCAGAAGAAGATCCTGGCTCCTGGATTTGACTGCCTAATTCTGGCCGATGCAGCCATTTGTGGAGTGAACTATTAAGTGAATATCTCTTTGCCTCTCCTTATTGCTCTGTATCTCTGCCTTTCAAATAAATCTTGAAGAGAGACGAGGAAAGGAGAGAAGAGTAGAAAGGAGGGAAGGGGAGGGAAGTGAAGAGGAGAGGTGAAGAGAAGAGAGAAGAGGAAAGAAGAGGAGAGAGAAGAAAAAAGAAACTGTCAATCAAGACAGCATGACTGTTAGGGAAGAATCACTAAGCCTTTACAACCTCTCCTTTTCTTTTATCCATTACATACATTCCCTGAAGCAGAGCTGCAGCATATAGTTGTGTATGTTGTGCACCATTCATAATCCATGCAACTCTGTCAGCACTACACAAAGGTGGAGTCTATGGGGACCCAGAAGCCAATGCCAAATCACCATTCAAACTCTTTGCCTTGAAAAGGGCAACTGACCTTTTCCCATGAGAGTGACATGATTACATCAACACAGCTGATTAAAAAAAAAAATTGGTCATTGCACTTATTTCCCCAACTGGAGAGACCTTTAGGAAAACTGCAAAGTTAGCTGTTCTCAAGTTCTCACATTTGATCATACATGTTCCCTTCATGTTGCTCAGGAGCAACTTAACCAGTAAAATAAATTGATGGTAAATGTTGAGCATTTGCATCCCAAAGTATAAGTTATAGGCCTAATTTTAGCCTAATGTAATTTGCAATGGGAAACCATAGTTGCAAGTAGTCTATAATGTGATTAAATGCCAATGGGGGTTGGGAATAATGGAGACATGACAGACCCCCTCACAATAACTCACTCTACACAGTAGGCTAATGAAATTATGTATCCAGCACATAGTATATTTTCTGGGAACTGAAAATGCACTTAGCATCTCACCAGTTGACATGCCAGTTACTTTTTTTTAAATCTATGGAGAAGAACATTAATTTTTAAAAAACTATTTCTTGTATCTTTTTAACTTGCCAGGAATAGCTCTGGGATCTGCCAGTATTGCTTACTGAAGAATATGTGATTCTTCTGAAGAAAAGCCACTTTTCCTTTACAAATTAATAAGAAAAATGTGGAAGGAAAGCTATGGATTGGTCATGACATTTAGGAAAGTTAGAGCTGCTATGCTCAAACTTTTGTTTGTTTTGTTTTTTTTAATGATTTATTTGAAAGGAAGATGAGAGAGAGACAGGCAAATCTTCCATCCATTGGTTAACTCAGCAACTGCCAGGGCTGGGCTGGTGTTAAGCCAGGACCAAGGACTTCCATCTGGGTTTCCCACATAAGTGGCAGGGGTACAAATATAAGATGGGCCATCTTCCATTGCTTCCCTAGGTGCATTAGTAGTATTTGGATAAGAATCAGGGCAGTCAGAACTTGAGCTGGTGTTCTGATCTAGAATATAGGGATTGCAGGTAGCCATTTACCCTTCTGCAACCACAGCATGGGTCCCAAGACTAAGGTTTAACTAAGGAACAGTTGACTTGGTTTTCATTAAACCTTGTGATGGAGATTCCTTCAGCTGCTGCAAGCTCAACAGTAAAGTTCATTTGTGTAGAACTGTGACGTGTTCCTTGTCTCTAGGTATGCAGCGTGGGAAGGAGTAGAAGTGGGCAAGTGTTTTTTGAAGGCACTTGAAAAGACCTTTGAAAAATCTGACTCTACTACCCAATTTTATTTTGCCTGCTTAGCTTTACTTTTTTATTTATTTGAAAGGCAAAGACAGAGAAATATAGATTTCCCATCCACTGGTTCATTCCCAAATGTGCTTAAAGCTGGGCCACACTGAAGCCAGGAGCTGGAAATTCAATCCAGATCTCCTATGTAGGTGAAAGGGAACTCAACTATTTGACCCATCACTTTGTAACTCCTAGGATCTACATAATTGGAAACAGCAATCAGGAGCAAAGTTGGGATTTGACCTAGGTAGTCATATACGGTGTATAGGCACCCCAAACAGTGAGTGTCCTAACTAGTATGCCAAAAACCTGCCTCAATCTGCTTCCCCTTATTGCAAAACTGCTCAATATTTTGAATCCATTTCCTTCAAAATTTTAACTTCACTGCTTCACAAAAACCAAGCATGTCCAACTCACCAGTCATCCATGTAATGACTTACAGTGGTTAGCCTTCATCTTACTAGATCCATTGCAGTATTTAAAAATGTTTTTGGGGAAATGACATGCTGCCAAAAAAACAAAACAAAGAAACAGAAAAACAAAACAAAACAAAAAAGCTTGAAACCCGCATAGTTTTTTCATGATCTTCTAGCAGACCTCATCTCAGTTGCACTGGATATAGCAGTTCATGTTTTCCTCCTTGAACGACTTTATTCCAGGTCTCTGCTCTCTCCTCATCCTCTTCCATCTCAACAGGCCTTCTCTGTGTTCACATCTCTACTTGGATACCTTCAGAGGGTCTAAAATACAAAGACTCTTCCAAAAACAAAGTTTATTTATTTGCAAGTCAGGATTACAGGTGGAGGAGGAGACAGAGGAGAGAGAGAGAGAGACAGACAGAGAGACAGAGAGAGAGAGAGAGAAAGAGAGAGACAGAGATCTTTCTACCATTGGTCCATTCTGCAGATGGCTGGCAACAACCAGTTGAGCCGTGTTGAAGCCAGAAGCCAAGAGATTCATCTGGGTCTCTCAAATGCATGGCAGAGACCCAAACACTTGGGCCATCTTTCACTGCTTTCACAGGTCATTAATAGGGAGCTGGATTAAGCATCTAGGTTGGGAACCAGTGTGCATATGGAATGCTGGCATCACAGGCAGCAGCTTTACCTGCTAACACTATGACACCCGCCTTCCCAAATAGACTAAAACACTCCCGGAAAACTTCCTTCTTTCTGCCTATCAGTTAATGCTCTGGCCAAATATCTTTAAAGAGAACTGCAACCCTAATGACTGTGGCTGCCCCCAACCTGCATTCTGCTCCATCCCCCTTTCATCCACCCTCTCAACCCAGCAACCGTAGTGATCCTGTACGATTCCAGGATGATCCAGCCTTGAGCTCTTTCTCTTATATCCCCCTACTTCCCTTCTTCTGTGTATCTGGGGATACACAGAAAGGCCTGGTATACTTAGAATTAGGGCCAAGCCTTGGATAACAGGTAGGATTCCAATGGGCATGGGAGAGCACTGCTCCCTGGGAAATGCCACAGGTCAAGACTCCAAAGCAACAAATCTGATCATGTAGTCAGAGACTGGTGAAGCATGCAGTGGGGTAGACATTTAACTTTCATGTTGAGGAGTACCGGGAAAGCTAAATTTGGGTCAGATGATAGAGGTCTTTCAGTGCCGCACTTAGGAGTTTGGCCTTTCTCCTGCATTTTCCGTTCAGCTTTGGAAGAAGGGGAGTGGGAGCAACTATGAAATTCACTTAGCATAGTTATCTCAGCTGCCTGCCAAGTAGTCTATTTAGTGCAATTCACAGGCAGAGCTTTGTTGAACGTTGAGAAGTCACTTGCTCCATGTGAATCCAATCACCACGGCAGGCAAACCTCAAAGAGGGAACACACAGCCGCTCTGAAAAGCCTGCCCCACACTCTGGCAACTCAATTCATGAATATGCTTTTCCAATGTCTGACGCTGCTGCTTAGCAAAGATATTATGGGACAAATCCTTGATTTGACCTTTTGTATCTCTATCCATCCCACTGTGCTAAAAGCAATTATGTGCATCTTGTGTGTGGCTGTTGGAATAGGGAGTCACTTAGCGACGGGTCCTTTTCACACTCCAACTGTCCTCTCGCTCATTCCTTTTCCTCTCTCACAACGGCCTGCACAGCAGGTCTCCTCTGCTGCTTGGCAGAGTCTAAAATGGCATTAGGGGGAGGCGAACAAGATGTAAACAGGTGGAAACAGCTCCTGTCACGGCGATTAGCATTCCCCTTGACCAGGCACAGCTATGGATGAAAGAATGGGGCTGCAAGAGGACAGAGAGGAGAAAGGTGGCTGGTGAGCAGGACGTAGAAGAGGCATGAACTCATTGTCAAAGGCACAGGCAACTTTCTACAAAAACTTCTTACAAGACAAAGCCATGCCAGCATCAGGGTGGGAGATAATAGTCTCTGCTGGGGATAGGAGAGCCTGTCAAGTGTCTCCTTCATCTGTAATAGATTTTTGTGTGCTTAAGTATATGCAAGAACGGAAGCCTGTATATGTGAGATCGTGCGCTTATGGCCCTGGTGTCTGAGTGATAGCAAGAGCATTACAGTGTCTGCAGGTTGTACATACATGTGCCTCAGAAGACCCATGCTGCGTGTGTCTAATGTGTGTCCTAAGTCAAGTATATGGAGATATGTATGTCATTTCTGGAGTGTTTCTATCTCTGGGTACATGTGTGTATATTCATGCATGTGTGTATACTCATGCATGTGTGTACGTCTCAACACGAGGGAAGATTGTACATGTAGCAGAGAGCTCATGTCTCCTCCACTTTGATGGAACCACTCCACATGACTATGGAGGCTGCTTCAATCCTGGCCCAAGACAGCCTGAAGGTCTGATCTTCAGGATTCCATAGCCTTCATTCAGTTCCCTGTGTCCCCCATGCTCCAGGCCCAAGAGCAGTGCAAGACCCCCTGAGCTAGAGATGATATATAGGAAGACAGGAGGGAGAAAGGTAGCTTGCTGATGGCAAGAGTCCATTGGATTTGGGAGGAGAAATTTTTTCCCTAAGCTTTTGAGTCTAAATAATTTATACTGGAAAAGTGAGCTGGACTCTTGGGCAGAACGTAAATGCAATCAATGAAATAGCAGCGAGTAAAGCGATCTGCTCCGAGGTTAACCCCTGCCTGATGTTAGACACAAGTAGAGAAGGGGAAGAGACACAGCTGCAGATGGGAAAGGATAGTCAGAGTGGGGCTGGCTCTGCCATCTAGAAGAGCTGAGGAAATGGTAGTCAGTCCCAGGATAAGGTACCTGCTGGAAACAATAGTGACTCTAGAAATAACGGAGAAAAAGGAGAAAATGAGCAATACCCGAATCAGAACTAAACCTTGTTGTCCAGAGAGCCTTCTAGATACAGAAGATGTTTCCTCAGTCCAAAGCTTCCTGCCACCCCAACTTCCAACCAACAGCGTGAGACCTAGCCTAGTCTTCTCAGCCTTTGCAGGCCCCCTTTCATTCAGCCTTTGATTCTCAAGGGAGGGAGGCGGTGTTGAAACCCCAGGGTCAGGCTGCTCACTTGTAAAATCATCTGAGACTCACTCAGACAGACCTTTTGTGATTACTCACTGATTGTGCATTGTATGTAAATTAAGACTAGAAGCAAAGAATAAAAACTGTGAGGGGGGAGCCTGGCAGTAGCCAACATTTAACACTTTGATCTATGTCTTTCCAAGCAGTTCTTCTTCCCTTTCTCTGTTTTCTGTGCATGTAGCTATCCACATATACATCCATATCTGTATTGTTTTAGAGTTATTTTTCACATGCTACTATGTCTTAGATATCTTTTCATGCCAATAAAAATCCATATCATCATGTTAAATGTCTGCTAAATATTTTATTGTATGGGCACATTGGTTTATTTGCCTAATTGTTATTAGATATTGGTCTTTTCCTCTTTTTTAGTCTAGATTTTTAAAAAAATATATATATATATATATTTCAAAGAGTTACAGAAAGAATCTTGTTTTTGCTGACTCATTCCCTAGATGGACACCTCAGCCAGTGCTGGGCACAGAGCCAGGAGCTTTCTGCAGGTCTCGCACGTAGATGGCAGGAACCTAAGTATTCCAGCCATTATCTGTTTCCTCCCAGGGTGTGCATTAGCAGGAAGCTGGATCAGAGCTGGAACTTGAACCCTGGCACTCCATTATGGGATGCTAGCATCCCCAACAACATCTTAACCACCACACCAGATGTCCAACCCCTTTTAAAAGTTTTAAGTAAGTTTTATGAGAATGTATTTTGTAATTGATCTGTTATTCTTGGTTATTGTTTATTTCCTTTGTGCATGATTTGTGATTTGGGATTTAAACCTTATCATGGCAGGTACTTATCTGTATAGGCTTTTCAACCTAGCATGTAGGAGATTCCATGTGTAGTTTCAGACATGTGCCAGAGATGTTATAAGGTATCCCCACAGATAAGCAAAATCACTATGCGCCCCTTTTGCTTTGGTCATCTCTGTGGCTTTTACTTTCTCAGTATCCGCACGTGTCCCTTCCTCTCCATTCATGTGGCTACCACCCCAGTCTTGCTTCTACCACAACTATTGTGTTAACTTCATGCTTAATAATAGGAACATATTGTGTGTATGTGTATGTACATATGTATGTATGTATAAGAGTGCCTTTTTTTTTCTGACTTTTCTTACATGTGTTCTTTCTGTGTTTAGTCAAGAGCAACCACAGAATTGCTAAAACAATAAAGCCATGAAAAAGAAAAAATGTAGGGACAAGCCTTTGGGATGCCAGTATCACATATCAGAGTGACTTGGTTTGTGTCCCAGCTCTTACAGTTCCAGCTTCCTACTAACTGCAGTCTTACCTCCCTGCCACTCAGGTGGGCGATCCAGATTGAATTCCTGGCCCCTGGATTCAGCTGGGCCCAGCCCTGGTTGTTCTGGGCATTTGAGAAGTGAACCAGTGGACAGAAGATCCCTTCTCTGTCTGTGCCTTTCAAGGATTTATGATCAGATTTGGGCTTCCTAAATGGAATTCTTTTAAAGTTTGTGATTGACATTGTCCAGAGACTCTGTCCAGAGATTCCTGTACCCAGCTTCCATTTGGGGGAGGGAAGGTGACAGGAAGGCAAGACACAAATCTGGTGGAGAGTACCTGGGAGACCAACCAACTTGCATTTAAAAAGCTAAGAGATTTCTCAACAGAATCTGAGTCAACCACCTCTTTCTCCCTTAAAACAGACAGGCCTGCTCTGTCACTACACTTCACAGTTTTTCCTTCAAATATTTACTTGTTGATTGGAAAGACAGAGTTACAGAGAAGTAAGGAGGAACAGGAAAGATATGTTATAAGCAATGAAGAACCTGAAATTTTTTTCCCTCCTGAATCCCTGTAATTTTGATCATCTTCCTTCTTAATGGTCAGTACAACCTAGAGTGGGCTCATGCAAAAGAATTGTCTGCCATGATTGAAATGTTCCATTTGTCAAATATGGCAACCACTAGCCACATGAGCCCATTGAACACTTGCACACTTGAAATTTGACTGGCCTGAATTGTGATGTGCCCTAAGTGTAAATTACGCACTGGCTTTATAAAGCTATAGTATGAAAAGCAGCATATAAAATATCTCATTAGGTTTTTTATAGTGACTGAGTATTGAATTGAAAATTATGTTGGCTTCATTGGCTCAAATGAGACATTATCAAAATAAATCGATGCTATGCCGATCCGAAGCCAGGAGCCTCTTCCATGTCTCCCACGCGGGTGCAGAGTCCCAAAGCTTTGGGCCGTCCTCGACTGCTTTCCCGGGCCACAGGCAGGGAGCTGGATGGGGAGCGGGGCCGCCGGGATTAGAACCGGTGCCCATATGGGATCCCGGGCATGCAAGGCGAGGACCTTAACCACTTGCGCCACCGCGCCGGGCCCAGTCTCTCTTTTTTTTTTTTTTTACTTCTTTTATTAAAAAAAAAACACTTTTGTTACTTTATTCATTTGAAAGACAGAGTTACAGAGAGAAAGAAAGAAATCCTCCATTCACCATTCACCATTCACTCCTCAAATGGCTCCAACTGCCAGGGTTGAGCCAGACCAAAGCCAGGATCTGGGAGTCTTTTCTGTGTCTCCCATGTGAGTACAGAAGCCAAAGTACATGGGACGTATTCCACTGCTTTCCCAGGCACACTAGCAGGGAGCTGGATTAGAAGTGGAGTGGCAAGGACTCTAACTGGCAACCTATGTGGGATGCCAATATCCAGGTGGTTGGTTTACTTGCTACATCATAGTGCTTAATCTTTTAATGTGGCCACCAGAAAATTCAAAGTCCTATATGTGTATTTCTACTTAACAGCATTGGGCTGAGTTTAAGAGCATGAAATTGGATATCAGGCAAGTGAGTTTAACTCCCAGTCTGCATTGTTCTGATTAAGTGACCTTGAGCAAGTTATGTAACCTGTCTCTTTTCAGGTATAAGGCAAAGATAACTGCTATAGCTAAATCAAATAGGTATTGGGAGGATTACCTAGGTTAGTTAATATAAAGTTCCTGTTGTAAACAGTGCCTGCAAGAAGCTCCTGGCTCCTGATTTTGGATTGGCTCAGCTTTGGCCCTTGTGGCCACTTCAGAAGTGAACCATGGGTGAACGGTCTTTCTTTCTGTCTTTCTCTCTGTTTTTCCAACTGTTCAATAAAAACAGATGTTATTCTGATTTCTAAACTTTCTAAGGTATATTTGCATTTCTTATGCAAAAAAACTCTACAAAGAAAGTTAAATTGAAAAATGAAAGCAATTTATTTTTGAGTGTAGTCTGCAGCTGAATGTTTATTTTGCTTGAAAGCTCTGTAATAATATTTACTTTGTTATGGCATGTGTCTGTGAGTGTCTACCGGCAGGCCTTGGGCAAGAGTGGAATTGGAGATCATGACAAGTGACCATTTATTTGTTAATTCCATGCTTCTGGCTGTGACTCTCCTCTTTGCTGCAAGGGGAGGGGAGAATGGCATCATGCTTCTCTCTGGCATTCACAACACACTGAGTGTTCGCCTATATTTAGCCAACATGAAGTCACTGAAACCCTATGCCTACTAAGGGCTCTGTTGTTTGTTGCTCACATGACTGATATGCTGATCACCCTGTGTAGTTTTGTCCTTAAATGAATTGGAAATGTCTTGTAATCCTTCCATTGCTGGAAGCTACACTTGGGGAATAAGAACTAAAATTGCACATCAAGGAGCATCCCCTAGAAGGACTCCTGGAGATTCTACAAGCCAGAGGGACTTCACTCATCCTCTGCTTTGACGGAGCCTGAGCAGGTGCACAGGCTGGAAGTAAGGGATTGTCTATGCTGTACTAAACTGGGAAAAGCAGCATCTTCAGTTAGTTGCTCCCAATAGTTACCTTGTATTCCAGCACTCAGAATTGACATGTGGATGTGGAAACAGGCAGTCCAACAGAGTTAATGGCACAAGTGCTCCTGCATGTGCATTCAGAGGCTCAGCTGTTAGCTACTGCCTGAATTTTGCCCTGGGGGTCACCTTCCTCTAACTGGTGTGGGTGTTCAGATGGGTTTGGGAACATTCAAACATTGGGAACATCTCAGTCCACACTTCTCTTTTCTCGCTTTGGATGACAATTGCAGGAAAGACTCCCTGCTATCAGAAAATCTAGTTTTGTTCTATTGAATGAGCAAATTAACTTTAGGAGAGTAGGCAAAGAGATAAGGTAAAAGCTGTTTAAAATAGCTGTAAAGTAGTGAGGTATTCGAAAAATGTTTTGCATGGCAAAATTTCTGAGGCCAAGAATTCTATGAAAAACTTAGAGGTCAGGGGCCACTTTTTCATCCTTCGTACTAATCTCTTGTTCCCTATGCTTCATTTTGTTTCTTACAACTTATGTGTGTGCTCCCCCAAATAGATATTTTTATGATGAAAAACAGATAAACTTGAAAATATTGAACTTTATTTTGAAAAAAAAAACATTTAAATTTGTTTTATATTACAGATTATTATCTAAAGTTGAGTAAATCTTTCAGAAAAGCATAAAAACCTTATTTCATTTATTAACTTAAAAAAAAGCATTTTGCTTTTTAAAAAGATTTATTAATTTGAAAGACAGAATTGTAAGGGTGGTGGGGGGAGAAACAGAAATTTTCCATCTGCCAATTCACTCCCTAAATGGCCTCCGTGACCTGTGCGGTCCAAAACCAGGAGCCAGGAGCTTCTTTTGGGTCTCCCACGTGGGTGCAGGGGCCATCCTCCTCTTCTTTCACAGGTATATTAGCAGAGAACTGGATCAGAAGTGGAACAGCCGGGACTTGAACTGGCATAGTCTATCTGTCTGTCTCACTGTAGATCTGCCTTTTTAAATAAATAAGTGAAACTTTAGGGAAAAAAAGCAAATTATTTTCAAATCTCAGCTCTCTATTAGTAACAAGTTAATTTGCACATACCTCACACTTTAATGAGTATAGCTGTGCTAGACAGTCACTAGTCATCAACGCCTCCGTGTGAACAAAGTTTAGAGAGTGGATTCTGAAAGGAAAAGAGAAGTAGAGGGAAGGTGAACAGGAACATAGGGTAGACAATAAGAAACCTGTGGAGATGTTTCTAGTTTGCCAATTTTACATAAGAACTCTGGTCCCCGCAATAACCCCCAGGTCCTACTCCAATTTATTGTAAAATAGCCATGAGTCAGGTGCAGGAATTTGGCACAGCAGTGAAGACATTGCTTAAACTATCTGCTGAGAGCCTGGGTTGAAGTCTCAGCGCTGATTTTGAGTCCAGCTTCATGTTGATGTGTCCTAGAAGGTAACACATCATGGCTCCCTTGGGTCCCTGCCACCCATATGGGAACCTCCAAGGAGTTCGCAGCTCCTGGTTTCTGCCTGGTCCTGCCACAGCTCTTAAGGCATATAAACAATGAATCAGCAAATAGAAGACCCCTTGGTGTCTCTCTCTTTTAAATAAAAACATTTTAACAATTATGATTTGTATTTTACTTCTATTATTTGCTATTATGCCATCATAGTAAAGAGAAGTCTGTTCTTTGTCAAGCTTTTTTCTTTAAAATTTAAGTATTTTTACTTGAAAGGAATAGTTCCAGAGACAGAGAGATAGAGAGATGGATCTTCCATCTGTTGGCTTATTCCCCAAATGGCTACAAGAACCATAGCTGGGCTGCTCTCAATGCAGGATCCACAAGCTTCTCTCTGGTCTCCCACATGTGTGCAGGAGCCCAGGCCATTAGCAGGGGGCTGGGCCATAAGTGGAGCACCTGGGACTTGAACCAGTGCCTATATGGGAAGTCAGTTCAGCAAGTGGACACTTTCTCTGCTACGTCATGACACTGGCCCCTCTTCTGAAGCTTGCATACATTGAGACTCGTTATAATGACTCTCTGTGAATTAAAATGGTGTAGTGAGGTTGGGGGTAAACCTGTTGCTGTGGTTTTCAAATATAAATACATAAAGCATTAATAGTATTTAGTCCAGCTGTTAAAATGTGCATGGTGTAATACTGCTTACTACCACTGGCATATAATACAGTGATTCTTGAAAAGTTTTATAAAGATGACACATTTCAAATCTGTTTGAAAAAAAATAGCTCTCATCAAATGGTGTGCCAACTTGCAACTGAAAAATTAAGTGATTCTCTATTTCTTCCCTCACCTAAAATATGTTTCAATCTATGATTTAAATATAAAATAAATGAATCTATTAAGTGTTTTTATAACTTTGAAGTAAGGAAGTACTGTTGAGTCAGAAATCTTCAAGAACTAGATTGTCTGGAACTTTTTTTAGTGGAAAGTTCTCCACAGCAAAAGATATAAGGCTGTATTGGTCATATTTGTGAAAAGGGTTAGGATGCAGCACACACAGAGCCTTGATGTGTAGGGCTGTAATAACCTATACACATGACAGCAAATGATCCTGATTTTTAAAATGGGCAGGGAATGTGAAGAGGAGTTTGAAGAGGAGGGAGGTTGGAAGTCCCAGAACTGCTCTGCACAGTGAGAGTCTACAGCCTCAGATGCCACCAGAGCCTGACACCCCTCTGTCTCACCCAGGAGCGCCCTCAGACATCTTCAGAGCTGTGCCTTAAGTCATCCCAATTTGTTACTGCAGAGCCAGCTTAACCTCACCTGGAAAACAGGCTACTTGCATCCTTACTCAGTAAATGCAAACCAGAAAGAGTCGGGTGGTATCCCCTCTATGTCCAGACATGCTGGGGTTGGGAAGCCCCTGGGTAGGTGCCACAGAAAACACTGCAGAAGAAAATGGACATCCTGCTATGGCCTCACTGGCACCTTGGGCTGCAGAACGCAAGGGAAATGGGCTCACCTGGCTTGCGCTGCTCTTGTCACAGTTTCATAGGCTGAGATGTAAGATGCTGAGTTAAAAAGACAATCCAGGTCAGCCCTCATCCATTTGAACAACAGCCTCCAACTCAGCTGTACTGAAGGTCACTACCTGCAGGGCAAGACTTGGCTGCTGCTGAACGCAAAGGTCTGGTCTGCCATCCAGCACTGGACACTGATGCAATATGAGTGGGGGCAAAGATCACAAAATCTCTGTAAGCCTAAAGGCTTAAGCTATCATCCTGCTCAGAGCTGCCTGAAGTCTGTCCTGCATGCAAACAGAGGTATGAGAAGTAAGAATTTAGGTAGTACACAGACAAATGCAAATGTTAATGACTCTGTATTTGTTTCAATATGTATAAACATACAACTGGTACATTGAAGTCATGATTTCATATATATACAGTGTGTCTTCAAAAAGTTTATGGATGGCACTGGTTTATGGTGCAGCAGCTTGAGCTGCCAGTTTAAGTTCCAGCTGCTCCACTGCCAATCCAGCTCCCTGCTAATAAGCCTGGGAAAGCATTAGAAGATGGCCCAAATGCTTGGGTCCCTACTACCCATATGGCAGATCTGGGTGAAGTTCCTGACTACTGACTTGGGCCTGGCCCAACATTGACCATCACAGCCATTTGGGAGGGGAACTAGTAGATGGAAGAGCTCTCTCTGTTTCTCCTTCTTTCTGTGTAACTCTGCATTTCAAATAAAATGACAAATCTTAGAAACAAAATTCACAGAGGGATGAACATCACAGCACAGAGGGTAAAGCCACCATTTATTGACAGTCGCAGCCCAATGCAGGCCACTCTGAGTCCTAGTTGCTCTCTTCCCATTCAGCTACCTGCTAATGCACCTGAAAATGTAGTAGTTGGTAAATCTCAAGAAATTCCCAAAATGGAAAAGCAAAGAGAGAAAAGACTGAGGAAAAAAAAGTTCATTAGATATATGTGAGTTTTTCAGTAAGTTTGTTTTTCATTTGGAAGAAAGACAGAACTCCTATCTGCTATTCACTACCCAATTGCCTGCAATAACTAGGTTCAGTCAGGCAAAAGCCAGGAACCCAGAGCTCAATTCATGTCTCTTGCATAGGTGGCAGGGACCAAGGTAGAGACTCAAGCTCTTTTGTTTTTTTAAATATCTTTCATCCAATGATTCACTCCCCAAGTGACCGCAATGGCCAATGCTGGGCCGATCTGAAGCCAGGAGCCTGGAGCTGCTTCCAGGTATCTCCATGTGGCTACAGGATCCCAAGGCTTTGGGTCATCCTTGACTGCTTTCCCAGGCCACAAGCAGGAAGCTGGATGGGAAGTGGAGCTGCCGGGATTAGAACCGGCACCCATATGGGATAATGGCATGTTCGAAGTGAGGACTTTAGCCGCTAGGTCTCCACGCTGGGGCCAAGACTCAAGCTCTTGACCTCTACGTTCCAGCATGTGCATCAGCAAGAAGCTGGACTTGACGGTTGGATCAAGGATTTAAACTCAGGTAGTCGGACCTGGGATGCAACATCCTCAAGGGGCTTGCCCTGGGCATGTTCTGCATGTTCTTTTATTTGCACTTTCCTGCTAACTTTTTGAAGTATTCCTGAAAGTTTCTTCTTTTCATTAAAGATAAGCCTGCAGCAGGCAGGTTTAGAAAGTGATTTTGAGGGCCCAGCATGGTAGCCTAATGGTTGGAGTCCTCACCTTGCACATGCCAGGATCCCATGTGGGCATCAGTTTGTATCCCAGATGCTCTACTTCCCTTCCAGTTCCCTGCTTGTGGCCTGGGAAGGCAGTGGAGGACAGCACAAAGCCTTGGGATCCCTGCACCCATGGGTGAGACCCTAAAGAAGCTCCTGGCTCCTGGCTTCAGATGGGCTCAGCTCCAGTTGTTGCAGTCACTTGGTGAATGAACTAGCATATAGAGGATCTTTCTGTCTTTCCTTCTGTCTTTAACCATCTCACTTTCCAACTAAAAACAAATAAATCTTTAGGAATCTTTAGAAAAAGACTTGGAGAATTGGTAATTGACAGTAATCTGAATATGGCAGAAATGATAAATTCTGCTTTTTCAGTTATGCAGATTGTTTGGAACACACCAGGATAGACCATTTTGCATCATTTGTTTTCACTGTCCCTGGAAGTGGGCACATTTGATCATGCCGCCACCCTCCCTGTGCCTTTCTGCAGCTGTGGTAAGGAGGCTGTGAAGCAATGCATAGTTCTTCATACACAGTCATATGTCCATCATTACGGGCACAGACGATGACAGAGTCCAACATCCTATTGTCAAGATACAGTAAACAGTTTCACTGGGAGTCCATCTTGGTCTGGAAGTAGAGATGCATACTGCATTGTATCCTCACATCTGGATATGACAGTCTTCATTACACAGTTACTATACATTCCCTTAAATGAAAAACTACAATACAAAATCAACAGGAAGAAAAAAAGAAATTAACAACACCATGAAGTTAAATAACATGCTGCTCAATGACTAATGTGTCGCTCAAGAAATTAAAAAGAAAATCAAGAACCTTCTTGAAGAAAATCCTGCTTCTGTATGATCTATGAGTCATTAAATGATTTAATCAGAAGAAAGTGTTTTGAACAGATGAAACTAACAAAAAAAAAATCAAAATCCATGAGATACAGTTTCTGCTGATCTTTGTTGGTGAAATATGTCTCCCGTAGGCAACAAATAGATCGGTTTTGATTTTTTAATCCAGTTTACTAATCTATGATGTTTGACTGATACGTTTAAGCCATTTACATTCAGGGTTAATACGAATAGATGGTAATCTGGTTTTGTCATTTTAGCAACAGGTTGTTCATTGTTTTAGTCTTCTCTTGTTATTTTACTGGGATGTTCTTCACATTTGCTTAACCCACTGGCACAACACCTGCTGCTTCCCCTCCTGGAAATCATTGTCCTCCCTACTTTTCCCAATTTCTCCTCCTCCAGACCCTTGTCTCAGTTTACTCCTTCTTCAGAAGCTACTCTGTGAGCTGCAGCATGTTTAAATGACAATGACAGGGATAGGCCCAGCGTGACAGCCTAGTGGCTAGTCTTCCCCTAGCACCAGCTTGTATTCCTTAAGGGCGCCAATTTGTATCCTGGCTGCTCCACTTCCCATCCAGCTCCCTTCCTGTGGCCTGGGAAGGTAGTTGAGGATGGCCCAAGGAATTGGGACCCTGTACCCATGTGAGAGACCTGGAAGAAGCTCCTGGCCCCTGGCTTTGGATCGGCTCAGCTCTGGCCATTACAGCCACTTGGGGAGTGAATCAATGGACATTAAGATCTTTCTTTTCTGTCTCTCCTCTGTGTAAATCTGGCTTTCCAACAAAAAAAAGTAACTTTTAAAAAAGAAGACAGGGACAGGATAGGATGTTGCTGGGCACCTTGCTTGCAATTGGTGTGGACATGAGATGAAATGCGCAAGGGAGCCTGAGCTCTGGGAGCTGCTCACAGTGACATGGGCTTGGCAGGCAGTTAGCTAGGTCTGTTGAGTTGGAGATGCCGGCAAGCAACCCTCCCACCCTCTGCCCCGTGTGAAACCCTATCCTCCTACTTGTCATTCAAAACATCCCCTTTCCTGGGATGCTTCTGCTTTATCCTGGATCTGGGAGAGGGGGTGGAGGAAGATGCCTTGAAAATGGGGACACTGAGCTCCACGAGGAACCCAGAGAAGTGCCAGATAATTCCTGGATGGCTTCACACCCAGAAAGGCATTGCCCTGAGCTGATCCAGGAGCCCTATAGCTGGGAGGGCTCTCTGCTCCCCTGCAGACCAAGGCTGCCAGACTGCCACGTGCCCTCCCTCTCTCTCCCTGCTCCTTGAGGGCAAATCTTCTGGCCCACTGCACTGCCCACCATGACGGGTAATTCCTCTGTGTGCGGCAACCCATGTTCATACGTGTGTGTGTTGGCTTTCTCTCCTTTTGAACACAATTTACCTTACATATGTCAGCACTCAGAACTCATGTCTGTGCACAGAGCCTGGGGTAAAACCTCCATGCCCCTACTCATCCACATTGACAGCAGGGGCAGACACATTGCTGAGAGGTCCTGGAACCACCAAGGCTGAGTTTCTGGACTTGTCGTGGAAGTTGGATTCAGGTGGATTTTTTTTTTTTAACGTAAGCACTATTTTGGGTTTTATTTGTTTTTAATTTTTATTTTTTCATGATATAGTTCCTTAGGCTCAGGTATTTCCCCTTCCACCCTACTCTCCCTCTCCCCTCCATATTTTAACAATATAACAGGTGCAATTTAAAAAAATGCCTCATACGTAGGAAGACCCAGGCTGAGTTTCCAGTTCCTGGCTATGGCCAGACCCAACCTTGGTAGTCCGAGGCATTTGGAGAATGAACCAGGTGATCGGAGTGTTACTCTCTTTTTCAAAGATGTAAAACAAACTAAAAATTCAAATGTGTACCTATTATATATGCTTTTCTCCTTGCTCAAGGACTTCTCTAATTAATCCCCGAGTCAGAATGCCTAAGCAGGTACCTTCCTGGGGCAGAGGCTGTTTCTATGTTCAGTGCCTGGCACAGGACATCTCTGTTGAAAGCTGGGCCCGCGAACAAAAGGCTACACATTTAACCTGGTGCAGCTTGAGGAAGTGGAGCTGCACCTTGAGAGAGAGCTGAGAGGTCATCCTTGTTAAAGAGGTTCCACTCTCCCGAGGACAGTATGAGAAGTCACCCAAGGCTCTTAAGGAGGAAAATGAGCTTTTGGAAATATATCACACACACCCCCCCCCTTGGAATTCTTGTGCTTCGCCAAGTGGGATCTGCCAGTCAGAACTGGTGCTGGGACCTCTAAACCTGGCGAGAAAGGAAAGCAAAAGGAAAGAAAGCACCCAGTTTACTCCCCTGCGGAACACAGCAGGTGAGGGAACTTCTAGCAGTGCAAGTCCCCCCCTACCCTTCACCACCACCATGCCATCCACTCGCTGCCCGTAATTCTCTAGCTTTCTTGCAGGGAAGCAGGGACAGGGTTGAGCTAACCTCCTCCCCCACCAGGAGCGGTGGTTCCGGGATGGCAGCTTTCCAACCAGGGAACCGCGCAGAGGAATCAGGATCCAGCCCAGCCTCAGGCCGCGCCCCGCTGAGGTCGGACCCGTTAGCCAGAAAAACAATTTGCTGTCTCAAGACATTCAGTAGTGCTGTGAAAACGGACTTGCCCACAAGTAGAAGGGGTTTCTTTCTGCTTTTCTTGCATCAAGTTAAAAGTCGACCTGTTGCTTTCCGTTTACGGAACATGTAACGAGGCTTTGAAACGCGCCGCTGTGGCCGGCTCTCAACGCGCCCAGCCCACGGCCCCGGGTACTGCAGAGCTGAGGTCGGCCTCGGTGGTGCGCCTGGCGCTCCAGAGGCCGGGATCACCAAGGCGCCTAGCTATGGGCATCTTGGCACCGCGCGCCTTCCGCTAAGCCCGAGTGCATGGTGCTGGCTTCTTGTCCCAAGGGGCCTCAGGCAGGGACAAGGGCACAATCGCCTCCCACTAGCCGAGGTCCTCCAGAGAGCTTGGTCTCGCTCCGCCGTCTTCCGTTGGTGTTTTCTTCCGCCGCTGCTCCGAGTCGTCCCAGAGGTCCCAGGGTCGCCCGGCCGCCGCCGAGAGAGCCGCGCGCCATTGCGCACGCTGTCCTCCAGGTGGCGGTGGAGAGCCGCACCCTGCCCAGCCACGCTGACGTCACCTTGTTTACCCGGTTCCTGGTCATTTTTAGAGCTCAGATCACAGGATGTGAATAGGGCCGATGATTTCCCATTCGTTTTGGCAAAAGGCCCTCCCAGTGGGCGTCCGGACAAGTATGATGTCCTTCTGGACAAAGAGGTTTTGCTGCACGGGGAGTATTTATTTGTGAACACTTGAAACTTCATCTTAAGAAGCAGATGGGAAACCCTCTCTCTGCAGGCTATACATGGGCTTTTCTGGGAAAACAGGGAGGGATTGGTTCCGGGGCTATGATGAGAGTCACTGGGGAGAGGCCTTGGCGTCTGGGAGGCATCGCATAGCCTGGCCCCCTACCCTTTGTTTTTAAAGGACCAAGTAGAATAGCATTTGGACTTAGAAATTGGTTGTGGTGACCTAAGGTGTAGCTGAGGGGAGACCCAGGGGGTGGTTCACCCAGGAATTGCATCTGAAAGTCTCAGGGCCAGAGACCACAGGATTCCTGTGCTGGGGCTTGTCATGGTAACAGTGTGGAGTACCCACTCCTTTTTTTAGGACACTCCAGTCATGCAGGACTAGTGAGGACAGATGGAAGTGCTAAGAGGATACCTACAGGGCTCAGCTCTCTGGGTCATCTTCATGTCCTGCCTTACTGGAGGAAAAGTAAAAACAGAAAAGAAGCACCAAGGCGTCTATTCATATGGGAGATACAGGAGCTGGGGAGTTTGTCCGGAGCTGCACAAGAGGCAAAATAAACAACAATCCCAAGCATCTCGTGCTAAGCAGAAGAAAAGCTTTAGGTTCATGTTAAAAAATGCATGAGCCCCAAGTCAAAGTTGAAATGCAGTTGTTTAAGCTACTGCCTGCTACATGCGCATCCTGTACAAACTGGGATTCAAGCCCAAACTCTACCACTCCATCCAGCTCCATGCTGTTGTGCTGGTAAAGTGGTCCAGGATGGTCCAACTGTTTGGGTCTCTGTCACCTTCATTGGAGATGAGAGTAGAATTCTGTTTGGGGAATTGAACCAGTGGATGAAAGATTGCTCTATCTGTTGCTCTCCCCAAATAAATAAATAAACCTTTAAATAAAAAAAAAATGAACCTCTAACTGCACAAAGTGCATGTTCCTACATCTCCACAACTCTCCCCACTTTCATCCTGCATCAAAACCAATTGCCACAGAAAACCAAGTCCTCACATGCGCACACACACACACACACACCACTTGCCCCCTAGCCCTTAGCAACCCCTGAGGGATTCCAATAGCCATGGAGAGATAGGTGGTTGTCATGCAGGCAGGAAGACAGAAAAATGGAATTCAGTTCAACCCAATGACCATTACCTGAGCTCCTGAATTGTGGCCACTGAAGACAAGCAGTACAGCTCATCAAGCATGAAAAGGCATGGTGCCCATCACTGTGGCACTTGTGACTTGGGAGTGGAGTGGAGTTCCACAGTCACTGGGAGGGTTTTATTTCCTTTCTCAAGCCCAGAAGGAAAGAAGGGTGTGGAGGCTTTACAGTGCAAGGGGATTTGGCTGGCTCACTGGTTTGAACAAGTGTCTCTTCACTGGGCTCTAGCATTTGCTCACCGACCAGTGCTGA